TTAAGTTAGCTAAAATTTAAACAAAGGACATCAATGGGCATAAAGAATGCATAGAAATTTTATTTTTCGCCTAATAAACAATTTCCGTGTGCAAACCGTGACGCACAAACATAACGCTCGAAAATAAAAACTGGGTGAAGTGAAATGCGATTCCGATAAAAATTAACAGATAATGAAATCCCCCTATAACGTAACATGGGTCGTTGACCGGAAAAAATCACCTGTGATGGGCTAATTAGCGCAATAGCCAATCATTTTATTGAAAATGATAAAGTTCAGAGTATATAAAATACCAAAATAACAAAATAATTCAAATGGCAAATTAAAAACTTAAGTAAAGAATAACAGTGTTGGCTGTAAGAACCAAAACTTTTTCATACCCCCTTGGGATATATTATTATTTTACAACTATTAAATCGTTGCGTCTTTATTAGGATATTGCGACCACAAATCGGATGCCTTCTGAAGCCACAATTCACATATTAAAAAAATCTTTACTTTTTAGTTCTATTTAAAATATTTATGACTCTTTATTAAAGATAATATAGAATAACTACCGTGGATTACCCGTTTTCATTTCGTAGACCACAATTTTTATTTTCGCTCCTGAATGTTATTTTGGACCTTGAGGATCACTAATCAAGTCATTATTATTATAATTGTGAATTAAGAAAGGAATTTTATTATAGCTATATTATTAATATCAGAAAATTTGAGAGCTCAATATTATATAAACGAAAACGCAATTTGATATAGCGGAGATACTCTGATGAAAGAAATCCGATTAAATGCAATGCATATTATTATTATGTATGTATTTGAATTTACTAACAAAAATATTCCTTAATATAACGAGGAATGAGCAAAATATTCACCAACTTTGTAATTAACGTATATTATAGCGCAAAGAGGGAAAAGAAGTAAGTTTCGAAAGCATCAATACTGTCAGATCGTTAATTAATACGTCAATTTAAATCCTTCGCAAATAGATTCCGAGAGCAATTGACGCGATATCCAATTCAATTGAAAATCTGAATCGTACAAGTGGGAAGAAGGATGAAGCAGAATCGTTGACATTCGAATTTAATATTAAGGGCTTTTAATTTATGTATTTCAATAACCTCTATTGGGTAAACGTTAAGAGGATATATATATATATATATAAAACTTCTTATATTTTTCTTTTCTGTGCTAGTTTTTCATAAGCTTGCCAATCATCTTTCCTGACATCTCAATCAATATTAATATTAAACTCAATATTAACATAATGAAAATGCATGAATTGAATATTTGTGTAGTATTTAAAACATTGTACCTTTTCTTAACATTAACACGTTAATCGCCATGTCATATATGTGCCTGAGGCTAAGAAGTTCTACATAGCCATGCCTGACATACGCGACTACAACACATCGAGAAAAAGTTTTAACCCTTTTATAAAACCTTGCCAGTCATATATGTTTGACATAAAAAATAGTGTTTTTCCAGAAATTTTGGTAACTAAATTATCTAACAAAGTTGCCATGGTCCATGTAAAAAAAATTCTGATTACCATGGCCATTAACCTGTTAAAATCATAATTTTTATAATTTATAAAATAAAAACTATTAATTACTAGTTCATCGGATTTATATATTTAATGATGCATTAAATGTACTTATAATATTGAAATAATAATTGACATTCTAGGTAAAATCGATTCCACTTTAGCTTCATTTTTATGTTATCACTGCGACCATGATAAGCGATCAAATTCAAATTTAATCCCATTTATTCGATAATTGCGGAAGTAGAGCTAATATTGAATTAATTCTACATTCAAGTCAGGAGATTAATTTTATTTAGCTCGTCGTGCGCCAAGAAAAGACTTTGTAAGAAAAATCGTACAAGGTATGAATACGAGATGATGGATATCCTTGAAATATCCTGGGTTTGGAAAAAATAGAATATGGATCAATTATAATATAGAATGAAAAAGGTAATTTTACATTCATGATAAAGATTAATTAAATCTGTCGCTCTAATATATGTGAGATATGCTGATTCATTGGAAGACGGTCGCAGCCATGCAAAAAATTCAATTCGATTCCAGTCTCAAGCGCGAATTCTTTCCATATGGTAAATAGAAAATTCAACAAATTCATTAAAGGTAAATACAAAATTCAATAATTTCACTATCGAAAAACAGAACTCGAAAGAAATTTATATTCTGCCTCGAACTCTATTCTATTTAGTGAATGTTTTACCAATTTTATTGAAATCGACAAATGAAATATGATTTAGTAAAATTATTTATATATTTTCATTTTCATAATATTCAATAGCCTAGCTATACGAAAGCCATTATAGATGATATTACTATACTAAAGTCTATATTTTGATATATTACCATCATAATCAAATCAATCAATAACTAGATGATACAAATACATATAATACGCACCTATGACGTCAAGCTTTCACGCCCTACATCGCACAAATATTACAAACAGCGGGTATGCATCCTTGAAATTGAACGAGAAAACGTAAACAGTACTTTCAGAGCTTTAATAACAAGCTTTGTAGAAAACTTGTAGTTAAGAGTACTTTCATAATATCAAAAGGAATAAAATATGAAATATGATGAGATGAGCAAGAAATATCAGCTCGTTGATGAAAAGAAACGAGAACAAAAGATACCGTTTGAAGGGCGTAAGGTTAAGGTTAAAATCACAAACGATGCGCAACAAGTGGTTTCTCGCTTTTCAAGGGAGTATCCACAGGGCTAAGAAAAAAGATTATATTTCCGTGTAAGATTTTGTTAGATGATACTATAAAACATAAAAAATATAATCTACGGAAAAACACGCACTAAAAAGTTTGATTGTAGCCTCAACTTCATTTATGAAAAACTGTACTATTGAAGAGTGTTATATTGCACTATTAATATTGACGATTAACGATTCAAAAATTGTAGAATAAAGTGGGGCGCATGGTATCGTGCCTTAAGGCAATTTTTGAGAAAAAAGACTTTTTGAAAAAAAAAAAATATTTTGAAATATTTTGGAAATTCTGAACTTTTTTTTCAAAGCAATCGTACTGCTTTACCTGCATAGAGACGAAATATTGAAGCGATGATAAACATTGTTACGGAACCCATAGGAATGTAAACAAAATTTATACTTAATCTATAAAATATCTGATAATTTGATGTGCATATGTCTAATGATCATTTTTGACCACAAAATGACATTTTTTTAGTTTTTTTTTACTAGATCTCGAAAACCGCTAGACCTGCCTTCATGAAAATTTGGTTCTTCATCTTGTTAATACGTAATAAGTAAAGTAATAATAAGTAAAATGTTTTTGGAATTATTCAAATCGGACCCTCCGTTCTCTCAAAAACTGAGTTACCGTTTTTGGCACTTTTTACCCCATATCTTCGGAACGGCTAGACCTGTTTTCACCAAAAACTCAGCACGTCTCCTTATCAATACGAATCGAATTTTTGTAGAATTATTCAAATCGCTTCGTACGTGATCCCGAAATCGTCGACGAAAATTTTGTATCCGCACACACACATACACGCACACACACAATACGTCCATTTTTCATTATTGCTGTGACTTTTCATGATTATGTATTTGCAAAGTTTTAATTCACCAATAAAAATTACATAAGGCATTTGTATACAGTTTATTTAAATACATGTGAATATTAGCCATAAATTGGATGCACATAAATTATATCATAATTCGAGTACCAAAATGTTAATTATGTACGCAGTAATTGGACAAGGCAAATAATGTAATTACATATGAATAGACTGAATTAATACAGAATTAATCCCTGTATTGATAGAAGCACTCTGTACAAATGTATATTAATTTAGCCAGATTATTATGCAAATGTCAATTGATTGACAGAATTGGGTATAATAATGTAATAAGGCGGAAGAATAATATTAGACTATTATGAATATAAAACCGCAGAAATATTTTTAGGTAATAATTAACTTAAAATGGGATTTTAGAATGCGCACGGAGCATAAATCCTGTATTATTTTGTATGTACTTGCTTGCACTACTCCCTATTTTTCGCAAATAATACGCGAACTGTAACTAATGGCTCGACAAAGTTGACCGAAAAGCTAAAAGTAGGTATTTTATAAATAATGTTATATAAATAACTTAAAATGTATGAAAAAAACAAAATTTAAACTTAAAAAAATCCATATATCATACTGTAAAGAACTGCATCACTGGATGCAGATCTTAGCTTTTTCTTTCTTTGTTCAATTCCAAGCCATGCAATTGATTTTATATCTCTTGTAGATGGATGATCAAATAAAATTATAATAAAAAAAGAACTTTAAAAAAAAAATATTTGCATGCTTAAGTTATGTATTACATTAAGTTCACAAAACAAACAAAGTAAATGAAATATCAAATATTTTAATATTAATTGGCAACTATTTCCATATGTAATATATAAGGAGAAAACACCCGCACGTAGCTCGTCTGGGATTTTGATAAAACTTGGAATAATGGTATTTTTTATGCCCGACTGTCCAGAGTAAAATATTAGAGGCCCATGAAAAGTGATTTTTTAAATAAAAATTAATTAAAGTTTGCATTTTAGCATCAATCAATCACTTCAACGCATCTTACCTTTTATTTATTTATCTTTCTAATTGCCTGATTTGATTTTGTATTTTCTTCATAAATAATTAATTCTTGAAAGAATTTAAGAATACAAATTCTTCATATTCTTGCGTACTATATTATGGAATATTTAGCAAAAAATAGAAAATAATTGAAACTTTGATTAATTTTACCATTATTTACTCATGAGACAGCGTTGCAAGCCATGTATACTAGTCCAGTCATTTAAGGGGTTAGGGGTACTTGGGATTTTTGAAAAATCGATTTTTATTTTTTTGCATTTTCATTAAGAGTAACATCTTGAAAATATTCTCTGAAAATTTCAAGTTGATCCGATGATTACTTTTTGAGTTATTGGACTCTTACCAGCGCGTTGACGCAAGTGGAGAGCTCGATACTTATACTCAAGATCATTCTCCCTCACCTCCTGATGTTTTAAACGCTTTCAAACCGATTTACGACGATCTCAGTAATAATAATTTACTTTGAAGATGTGTAGTTCAAGATTAAATCCATAATCAGAAAAAACTAAAAGCTTCAACCAACTAGTGTAAAAAATATACCTAGAAACCGTGAATACTAGTTTTACTATCGTACAAATTGCTGAATGCATATACATAATCATTATTATTGATTATGGATACCCTAGAAACTAATTGTGGGTATAATTCCCATTGATATGCTTAAAAATTGGATGCTGCGCGTGTGAAAGTGGCAGATCAGCGCGCCAACGAGAGCATTCGGGAGGCCAGAATGCTTTGTAGGCAACAGCAAATGGAAATTTTGGAAACTTGCACAATGACTGATAAACTATTATATGGCCCAGATATAGATGACTCAGTTTAAGTAATTCAATAATTCGAATTTCTGTACGTAAATCCAATGTGAAACTTTAAACGCGTTTTTCTCAAAACTATGTTTTTTGCAACGGTGACCACTGTAACTCGAAAACCACTTAGTAAATTTTCATGAAATTCATACAGCTTTCATAATACATAATAAACTCGTGCCTGATCGAAGGATTTTTATTTTTTCAAAAATTTGAATTTTTTAAGACCAATTAACTGTTGATTTTTTACCCAAAAATCTAGATTTTTTCTTTCTGATGCTGCCATTTTGTTAATTTTTGCCAAAAAAAAGAAAACCTTCGATCCGGCCCGGGATTAACTATTCATAAAACTATTTTTTTAATTTGATTGATTTTAGATGAATCTCCAAAGAGTTATGATGGTCACCGCCAGGACCGTTTTTCCAAACAGGGTCAACAAAAACAGCTATAACTTTGGGAATATTGATTTTTTTTCTGAAATTTTTGTTACATCAAGTCAAAACATTGTATAATAATGCTGTATTAATATTTTTGTAGAAAAACATCGTTTAATAACAAAAACAATATACTGAAAACACTCATTTTTTCGTGCCTGCAAGTACCCCTAACCCCTTAAGCTTAAATTAGGTAAGAATCTCGGAATTCGAGGTACCCAGCTGTAAGTAAGTCTGTAAATACTTGTATATTGACACCTAAAAGTTATCTCAAAACCCACATATGGTAGGGTGTACGCAACATATGTAGGTTTTCAGACAACTTCTAGGTGTCACATATGTTTCTACAACTAGGGGAAAGTCCCGTAACGCCGGACGACACCAAGCACCGGACACTCTATTTAACACGTATTATTTAAGCGAGTATAAATCTTTTCATTTCAAAATACAAGTGTAAGGGACACATTGCTACAACTATAGGGTATATATAAAAAAAGTTGCAATAATTTTTGACATAAAATAAATTTACAATTAATTATTTTCTTCAAAAGTGCATCACTAAATATAAACAAATGGTCGGCGCTCATGAACTTGACTATTTAACGATTGTGCATTTTGACTATTTTTTATAAAAAAACTAAAAAGGTTGTGATTATGAAATTTTGCACATATGTTTCTACAACTAGGGGAAAGTCCCATAACGCCGGACGGCACCAAGCACCGGACACTACTTACAACTGGGTATCTCAAATTCTGAGGTAAACTTACTATAATGACTGGACTATACTGCGTGCTTATCAAATCCAAACTTTGATTTATTTTTACATTTAAATCGCTTTACATAGACCTCTAATATTTTACCCCGGTCAGTTTGGGCATAAATTGTACTATTATGCCAAGTATGATAAAATCCCAGACGGAGCCACGGGCGGGTTCTCCTTGTTAGTACTGACAATGAGAGATACCCTTTTAAAACGATTAAAACTCGATCGATCAAAAAGTAAAACTTAGAGTAAATAATAAAACTTTGACAAACTTAAGCATAACATGTATTGGAAAATTTTCAACTGTTTTAAATTACTCCAATTAATGCAAACAATCCCATGACTAAAATACTAAACATTTTTTATTAAACATATCGAATCATATACCGTGTTTGTTTTGATTCGGCTCAACTATGAGTTATTTCGTAGAATTTCCGCTGATCAATAGATATATTCTTATTTTAGTGTGTGAGAAATATTTGTGAGTCACACAGAACGCACTTGTTGGATCGGACAACAAGAAAACCGGAAGCGTTCAATCCGTACAAGAATGTATGAATTGTATTGCAATTGTGAAGCGGTCTAACTAGAATAACACATAAGGATCGCTTTGATAAATATGGTAACATGGAAATCAAAATTAAATATACATTTGCATTCATTAAAGCTTTTTAATGGACAATATATTGGTATATTGAATCTAATACATAGTAAGTGATTTATATAATTGGTGAAAAATTGTTCCACACTTTCACTAATAATTAGTGTATTCTCATATTTTTCGCAAAAATTAACAAAAAATATATACACTGGAGTGACCTTACGCTTCTACTTTTCAAATAATTTTAAATTTAAATATTGATTCTCAAATTTTAAATCCCAATTCTAAAATAATAATAATAATTTTCATTTTCCATATAATTTTCAATTACCATTATAAAAAATGGTTTTCTTTACGCAAACTTAGGAGAAGGGGCATCCATTAATCACGTGAGGTTTTTAGGGGGAGGGGGGTTTGACAAAAAATCACGAAATATCACGTGGGGGAGGGAGGGGTATAGCAAGATATCATGTGTATTTATTTATTTTACTATTTTTTATAAAAAAGTTCAAACATTTCAAAAAAAATCAAAAATCTTACAGTTTTTCACGTAACTAAAAATACACGTGATGTTTGGTAGGGGAGGGGGGTTAATTTTGAATATCACCAAATATCACCAAGGAGGAGTGGCTAAATGCTCAGAGTAAGCGAGGCCAAATAAGAATTTAAAAAAAAGGAGATTACAGCATTAGTTTCCAAACCCACTTTTAGCACTTTTATCATTTTTAAAGTTTTGGTCTCCATTAGACTCCTCCATATTGTCAAAATATAAACATTCTATAACAATATATTATAATCCATCTATAAGCAAAATATCAGAATATTTATTTTTGAACAGCAATTAGAACTCATAGTTCTATGAGCAGAGTAATAATACTTCTAAACTACATGTTTTTGTAGGCAACCCAAAAGTTGGGCTGCTATCTATATATGGTATACTTTAATTATTAAAATGTCTCTAATACTGATTTATTTTTAATTTGATGCAACAATGTCGGGGAAAACCATGTTTTTTTGGAAAGATATTTTAAACCCATATTCTCAAGGAAAAACCGATATCACTACTGCTTGATATCAGGTTGTCCAAAGTGAATATCGAACCTGAAACCTTGGGTTGGATCAAGAAAGCTCTAGTAGAGAGCCAAAGCAGCCAAACAAATTAATTTAAATAATCGAATATTTAAAGACCAAACAGATCAAAACATTATCCTGTCGTTTAAAATGTTTAAGCATATAATAAAAATATTATAAGTAAATTAGTTATTTTAATTCAAAAGTGATGTTCAGACTTCTTCATTAATTTGCGTTACGCCAAGTAATTGGCAAATGTTTTTACAAGTGGAAAACAAAAACAATAAATTGCAGCTTTGTTATCTTTATCAACAAATGCAGACTATGAAAAACAAGATTATGCATATATATGTATCGTTTTGACATTTCACCTACATGCATAAGGACGATATTCTAAAATTACCACAACTGAAGTGATAAAAATGCAGGCGAATCAAATCAATGTCAAATGGAACATTTAACGATGATAATCGTAAATTGGAATAGGTATAAAAAAATATAATGCTGAATTTTATATTGCAAAGTACAATTTGAAAGATATAATAAATGGCAATTGTTTGATTTTATTCGCTATTGAATTTTTTATTATCTAGAGATTACGAATTTTGTAAGAAACTAATTTTTTTGTTTTAAGAAAAAAAAATGCATATAATAAATTTTTACTACTATTGATCACAGAAAAGAGTATTTTAAAATTTTTTGAGAAATTCATATCAATGTTCTGACTATTAATTGCATTTTAAAATATAAATGTGGTAGTGAAATGCTATAATGGCTATAATAAATAATAATTATCGTTTATAATTTTCAAAATACAAATGTGTACTTTATTATTATTAATTTCTTGACTCATTGTTGAGCAAACGGTAAAATTCTTAGAAACGTAATATTTAGCAGAGTTTATGCTACTATGACTAAGTGTGTTTTTATTAAATTGATATTTGTATTTATTTGACGTCAAATACAATTTGCATTCACCTTCTTTGTTCGCAATCTTTTCAGCGCAAGTTTTTTAAACAAAATAATTATAATGATAAAACATTTCGATATTATTTACAAAGTGAATGAATGCACGCGAAAAAAATGATCTTGATAACCTATGTTCTGAGAAAATAAATCAATGCGTCAATTATTAAATAAATCGAAAATCAAATTAGATATTATGTCATACAAATATTTACAATCATTAAAGTGTCGAAATATTTTGTCACCAATACTCTCATTTACTAAATAAACACGTAAGTTTCGTGCATTGGCAAAATTTTGTACAAATATAATAGTCCAAAGCAGCACAAAACATAAGTAATAATTGTAACAAAAGCTCTAATGGTTTCAAAATATTGCAATAACTAGAAAATTATGTCCATATGAAAAATAAATCATATAATAAACTTCGCCTATATGAAATGTCTAATATTTTCAAGATCGTCATCAACGAATGACGAAGACCTCAATAATAACAATATTTTTGCTGCGGCTATCGCTCAAAATGAACGAATTGTTGTAAATATACAATGCTTTTTACAAGAGTCCTGAAGTACTTTTATTAACTTGGAAGCTCGTTTCTGGGACCATTTTCTATAATATAATCGAAATTTCATTAGCTATAGTGCTCGCGAGAACAAATGCAACTTTGCAGACAGTGTTAAAAAGTTGATAATTTATGAAGCAAACCAAGAAAATGAAATATATAATAACTTAGCGATTAGGTAATACAAATTGTAAATTGGTATTACATGATTTGTCATGCTTTGACTTTATTTGTCATAAAAACAGCTTCAATGTAGGAATTAAAATATAAAACAAAATTACTGCTCAGTTCATTGCTTAGACACTATAGACATAGAGTATAAAGTGTCTTTTCTCAATTACTTCAGCAAACTAAAGTAATGAATGAGTGCCCTGATTGTGAGTGAATAAAGCATGTTCGAAGCTATTGGTTCTATTTATTCATTATTCTACTGCAGCTAACGTAAAAGAACTAGTGTACATGATTTTAAATGGGAAAATGTCATTTCTAAACGCAAAATTTCGTTGTGAGCTGTAAAAACAACTGTGCAAACAAAGATTGAGAGAAGAGAACTACTGCAGGTCATAAATTTCGTTTATAACGAACGCAGCAGTCGCGGGTGTGTTCAGAAAACATTGCTGCGGACAAGTACTGCCGCAGTACAAAACGACAAACAATCACTAGGCAACAAAGCTACGCAATAATAGATATATAAAATATATAAAATTTATATTGATCTGAATAATACCAAAAATTTAGTTATTAATTTCAGCTAATGTGGGAGAGAAGTATTCGACCTCAACATCGACTTAACCAGCAATTTAATGAACTATCCAAATGACAAATCAAAGTCAAATTATCACTAAGTCAGCCTATATCGAAAGTACATGCATATTATGTATTCAATGCAAGTTTCAATTCCGTTGATATACTGCCAAAAAAGGACCTCATTAATTACTTATTCTAAGAAATGTAATTCTTCGTTAATTAGCATTTTTTCTTTTACTGAATCAGTAATTTGTTCATTCCGAGTGATGTTTTTTGTTTCTTAAGGAAAAACAATCTATTAAATTATAATAGCAGAATCAAAATAAATCGCTACTTTATAACCATTAAGATCCAATTTATTGCTATAAAAATCTGCTTATAAGAATGTGTATATGTACATATTCACAAAATCAAATCGGTTGCAACCATGCAGCTGAATACTGTATCATACCAGCTCAGCAAGTATGCGTAAAAAGCCAGTCAATGAGATGGTAGCGAAATTCACAGAGTCGAAGTGGAAGAGGTGAAAATTTATAAAATATATTTATCGTAAAAAATAAGAGTTCATAATTTAAATAATTAAAATACTTTTCACAGCGAAGGACTTCCTGTCAACACCATATTTAAAAATGCTAGCCTATAGAAAGCATCCGGCAGAATTTGATCAATTACGTACCTATCATGAAAACTGAACATGAATAACCATCAAACAAAATCAATATCAAAAAAAATTGAGTGATTTTTTTATATTAACAAAATTGATTATTACTAAAACTAGTGGGGCGCATGGCATCGTGCCTTAAGCCAAATTGCTGGAACTTCCCGTACCAAAAATTATTTTTTTTTAAAAAAGAGTAATATTTTTGAAAAAAAAAATTACTCTGAAAAAATTAGATTTTTGAGAAACTATAAATTTTTGGCAAAAACTTACTTTTTTTTTTAAAAAAAAAAGACTTTTTGAAGAGAAATTTATTTTGAAATATTTTGGAAATTCTGAACTTTTTTTCAAAGCAATCGTACTGCATAGAGGAGAAATATCGAAGCGCGTAAGCGTCGCGTTGCCGTCTAACGGATAAACACTGGTGCGGAACCCATAGGGAGTAAACAAAATTTATACTTGT